GCCACCCCGCGGCCACTCCGCGACCACCCCGCGGCCACTCCGCGACCACCCCGCGGCCACTCCGCGACCACCCCGCGGCCACTCCGCGACCACCCCGCGGCCACCCCGTGACCACTCCGCGACCAGCCTGCGATCACCCTACGACCCGAGAGACGATCCGCTGTCGTTGCAGGTCTCCCGGTGAGCATTGAAGACACCCGCAGCGGGAAGAAGGTGTCCGATTCACCATACCACATTTTCCTGTTCGCCAACGAGATCGGGAGCCGACACGGGGTCGGACGGATCGACATCGTCGAAAATCGCTTCATCGGCATCAAGGTATACTTCCTTTTTTTTCTATTCTCTTTCGCTGATGAGCATTCCGCATTCGCGCGACCGACGGTAACGGCTGCCATCGAGAGAATGTCACCGGCCCCCGAATAAGTGAACGCTAGCCGATCGTCCTCGCCGTCCCTTCGAGTCCAAAAATGAAAATGAAACGTTTGCCATCGGGTGTGGCGCAGTCCCGCGGAGTGTACGAGACCCCCGGAGCGACGATCCTCCACGCGGCCCACCTGGACCTGGAGACGTTCGTGTTGGACAGGGAAGTCCTCCGGCTCAAGATGCACCTCAGCGGGCGGATGGCCGACTTCGTCTACAACGGTGAGCGCCATCGGTCAATGTGGGGCGTTTGGATAATTTATTTTATTTATTTTTTCTTGGGGGGGATTTCCTAAGTCGTGGCTCGGCCGGCTGGGGCGCACAAGATGGTAGCCATTAACGTGTTCGCGACTTCAAGAGTTAACATGAGAGGTTTTTTTATTATTTGAATGTCTGGGTCTCTCAATGCCTCTTGCCTTGCCTGCACCCTTTAGAATGAACGGCTAAATTTATTTTGGAGGTCTCTTCCATCGGAAAACTGTTCCCTGAATTCATTCCTCAATTTCTGCAGGATTTTGGTTCAGCCCCGAAATGGAGTTCACGCGAAGGTGCATTTCCATATCTCAGGAGCGGGTCACCGGGAGCGTCGACCTCAAGGTCTACAAGGGCAACGGTAAACCCATTCCGTTCTTTCGGTAAAATAAATGCCGACAGCCGACCCGAAAGTCGCATTCGATCCGGAAACACCACTTGCGCCATTGCTTTTTTATCTTTTGGTCAAGAGGCCAGAAACGAACAGCAATCAATTGACGAAAAGTGCACGAAGAGTATCGGCTGGAAAGGTTGGGGGACGTTTCCCTGGAACATGGAGTTAGAACGCATTATTTCCGAGAAGGGGAAGAGGTTCCTCGTGTCAACGTCTCTTTCAAGTGCACGAGCTTTATTAGACATTGCATGCAATTGGCTCAAATAAAAATAATCGAGACTTGACGAAGCGCTGATAACTTATCGTTAAATTTAGAACAGAGAAAAAACTTCATTTTCTTCTCTCGTATCTTGCCTTGTAAGCGCCTGCTACCGAGATTGAGACTCGGAAATGGACTCTATTTCCAGTGTACGTGTTGGGGCGAGCCTCGTCGCTGAGTTCCTACAACCAGGCGCTGGCGTCGATGGACGAGCACGGGCCCAACAGGCCCGAGAACGCCGAGGGATTCATTCACATACACAGCCTCCGGCTCAAGGAGTGGAGCGCCAAGAAGTCGCAGTAAATAGCGGGTGCATCCTCGCTGCTTTCCGTAGTCTCGGTCGCGCATGATGCTTTGTGCGGATGACTTTCTAGTCGCTTTTTTTTTCTACACTTTTTTTGGATGTCTTCTCGTCCGTGTGACACCCTCCTCTCCAATAAAGAAAAGTGGCGATTTCAAAATACAGCTTCGAGTCAGTCGATCTCATTCTCGGTCGCGAGCTTCAGTTGAGGTTTTCACTGTGAACTGGATTGTTGGAATGGTTTCGGCTTTTCCCATGCTAATCGCTGGACGCGATTTGGCCCATTCCTCCCCCTTTCCGAAGACTGTCCCATAACAGACCACGGGCAAAGCTCATAAATTCTACGTAGGATCCATTCCACAGCGAATGAAATACACTAACTGAAACACTAACCGCTCAAGTCCTAGAACTGAAAAATGTTGAACTATGAAGTTCCAACGAGGACCGAATAGGCCAATGTACCAATTTGTTATGCATACTTCAATTAAACTAACAGAAGAAAAAGAAGCACAAGTTTGAGAACAGATTCATGTTGTCTCTCAAAATTCCAAAACAGACCCCAAAGACTCATTTTCTATGCAACCTCCATTTCCAACTCAGTACCAGTTTCAAGAAGAGATTTCTTCTTCCTCTTTTTCTTCTCTTTGACAGGAGTTGCAAATGCCTCTTCCTCCTCATCTTGCAATATTCCAGACGATTCCAATCCACCTTCATCATTGATGGCACTGCTCTTCCTCTTCTTTTTCTTTTTCTGCACCACTACTTCCTCTTCACCTGTAACTGAGAATACTACAAAGTCACACAGTCACCTTGCACCAAAAACTTCCTGATATGCAAGCAACTGTTGACTATCAAGACCATAATTTTATGGTAATGTAGATAGGGTACTCAAGGAATGGCAACTCTAATGATGAAAATAAGTATCCGATGATGATTGAGATGATATTGGTCAGTAGGCGAGAAGCACCTCAACTCCTTCTCATGCAAAATGTTGCACCTCATGACCCAGCATACTGTTCTAAACATATCTGTATATAACAGCAACCAGTAACTAATCTCTCATGATTTAATGTACATGCTACTTGAACTGAAATTCCTCATTGTATGAGAACAACATGAATAATCATTTTGTCAGGATTCAAAGGGATATAAGCAACTTCACTATGATGCTCCAGAGGGAAAAACAAAAAACTACAATGTTAGTCTCACTGAACTTACTATTCATTTCCTGGGTATCAGGTGAGGCTTCAAGCTGCATGGCTTCTCCCTCAGATTTCTTCTTTTTCTTCTTCTTCTTCTTCTTCTCACTCTGCAAACAAAAGAGAACATGAATTATATTCAAGCAGAAGAAACGATTTTGTTTCCAAAACCCCCCCCCCCCTTCCCCCAGTCACTGCAACTGAAAGAAAAGCTGTCCAAGGAGAAGCCCAGTGTAAGTGGTGGCAAACCCGATGAATTAATAATGGCTGGTGACAAAACCGCATATTATGGGTGTAACAATATTAGGTAAGCCAATATCTCACACTTGAAAATTTCTGAGCAGTAGGTCATGCCAATTTCCTTTCTGGACTCATAGCAATGAGTGCTCTGGAGAGCCAGAGAGGATACTCCTTGTCATAAGAGCTCAGAAAGAACTGGCTAGTCCTATGCAGGGTGTCTTGTTTTGTGAAATGCATCTTTTGACTGTGTGGTCTACATTGCACAGGTGTGCTCAGCTATGCTGAGAATTTCAAGTGCCTTATGGCTCTCCCCTGATGGCAATCAGGAACTGGATAGTAGTCTGTTTGTTGTGGACCCCTTGTAAGCCAAGCAACAAAACTGAAGTCTGCAATGCACACAATAGCACTGCACTGCACTGCTCTAAAAGATGCATTCCATTCAGAGAATATTTATGACTGAAAGTACGCAAGTTCAAGAGTCCAATAACATAGCTACATTATTCCAGCCAAGGCATATTCCTGTGGCAATAAGCAAGTTGGTAGTGGACAGGCAAAAAGAAAATTAGACAACTCTGTACAGTAAGCTATTAATGCATGCAAAACAAAACAGTATGAGGTAAAATATTAGTACTGATACTATGCTCCTTAAAAATTCCAACAAATTTAAACTTCTTACAAGGAGATTTAGTTTCTCTACTTCATTCAGGTCTGGTTCAAATCTACTCAAAAGTTTTTGAGACTCACCAGAATAGCAGCAGCAGCAGCTTGCATGGCTGCTTGCATGACATCAATGTTCTTGCGAGGCAATTCTCCAGTAGCATAGAATTTCAGCCTTTCTTCCACTTGCTCCTTCATTTGCTCTCCAAATATATCTGTAGGGCTCTCTATACAGAAAAAACAAAATATAATTCAAGGATTTCCTCATGCAAATATGATTCTTGTAGTCCTGAAAATTTTGTTCTCAACTGCTTCTGATTTATGATTAATTGTTACATTACATCATACCCAGACATTCTAAGCGGCACAATACTTCCAAATATATATATTCATATAAGATACTCATCACCTCTTCAGGAGACAAATTAGATAAAATCCCTGCAAGCCACAAAAAGCCCCACTGTAGTTTTGCATTACACTCTAGGTAACCAGTTTTTGAAGGCTGAATGAGAAAAAATTACAAATGTCTAGAGGAACATTAAAAAATGAATTTATGTAATATGTAATACTTGAACCCATGGTGAGAATAAATGGTCATGCTATACTGCAACGACATCACCAGATCCAATAATCCCAGCACATGGCTTTTGTGGCATGAAAGCCAGAAATTTTCTTGTTATATTGTAACAACATAGAACCAAACCCTCCTGAATGCACTTTAATTTCATAATCCTTGTCAACTTATCATCACTGATTCACAGAATAGTTCTATGATGATAAAAAAAAAACCAAGACATAGACACTACTACTTAGTATGGCAAGGCATTCCAGGTACCATTGCATTTTTACCAGGTTCTTCATGCAAGAACATTTGTCATTCTGCTGCAACACAACAGGAAATTCCTTGATAGAACAAATCTACCCAAAAAAGAGATGACATACCCGAGAAACAATCAATCCGGGAAGCTATGGAGCACTTGTTTGCCAAATAGCGGGAAATACGGCCCTTGTTCTTTGCCGCTGCTCGCCCAATGAATGTAGAGTGAAATAGAAGTCCATATTTAGGTGTGTTGCCTCTGGTTTTCAGAGCTCTGAAATGGTAACAGAGACCAAGATGGAAGAGGAATTGAAACAAAATTACTCAGGTACCATAATGTGCAATGGTTTGAATTTCTGGGGCAACCTGGAACAGTTTTCATCCAACCAGTTATTTCTACAGGAGCAAAATTAACTTTCTCACAACTAAACAAATTTTTGCCAATGAGCACAGAAAAAACTTACCTCAACTGTGAGATAGATCATCTCCATTCCAGTAGCAATAAATTGCAACTCAAAACCTGTTCCAAGCTACTGCACTTGACAGGAATGAAACAAGAATCAGCATCAGACATTTAGTTGTAATGGAAATGGAAACAAAATTTATAATTTTAAGTAATGTTTGGTCACAGCAAAATTGATATCTACTTTCTTTTCATGTTCTATCTTCTGTTCTTTAAGCAATCCATACCATTATCAGTTCCTGTAATGAAAGTAGGCTTCTCAGATTGAAATTTATTCTGAGAATAAAAAATTGACCAATTTTAGGATGACTTCCTCTTGCACACAAATGGGATAGATGGATAACCTTAATAGGTTCTTCCATTTGCATAAAAGGAGAAAATTAACTTCCTTGTCATATAGATCAGTTGGACTCAAAGTTAGACAATGTCAACCCTTGATGTCGATGCAAGTTAGATTAAAACTTTTCAAACCAGAGCATAATGATAATGCAATTATAATAAATGATAAATCTATCTGTATAAGCAAGGATCTCTGTCTGTCTCTGTCCATCTGACGCTACGCATTTGGACACTGTTGGAGATATCGACCTGAAACCTTCGCAGGAGGGTGGGGTCTGTCCAGTAGCAGGTCATAGGGGGGTCGGGGTCAGGGGGGGCGGCTCCGGGGGGGTCTCGGGGTCCCAAAAAGGGTGTTCCAGGCCAGCTAGATTTCTCAAGCATTGCAGTGAATGATTGAGACACTTTAGAATTTAGAATTTTTTTTCAGTGCAGTAAGAATATGTGTGAGAAAATGGAGTTTAGTTTTTCCTGTGAAATAAGAATATCATTGAGAAACTCATTTAAGTTAGATTTTTTTTAAAGAAGAGCCCCTTTGAGTTAAGAATTAATATAGAACAACTTTTAAAAAATAAGAAAAAAAAAATAAAAATAAAATGGCCAGAGCAGTGCTCCCGTCCCTGTTGGTCTGGCCAGACTTAGACAAATAAGCACTAACAAAAAAGCACATAAAAGAACAACAGCTAGATACTCCTAAAAAATATCCCGGGCAACCCAGCTTGTTAAAAATAATATATTTAAAGATGAAACAATGTATGACCAAACAGCAAATTTGCCTGAAGTATGACATTCATGACAAAAAATGAAAACCTAACTCAAGCCTGTAAAATTCCTACTTGCCTGCAGTGAGTACATATTGTGTGGTTTAGTGAGGGAAAACAGCCTAGTAATAAAGATCACCTGTTCTTGTGCCTTGAAAGCAAAGTAGGAAGCATGGCCCCCTTGTGTGAGTTTCCATCTACTACCATCCCCTAAAAGCTTAATGATATTGGTTATTGCAAGCTACCTCCTGCACCATATGATTGATGGTGGGAAGGCAGATTTTCCCCCCTTATTTTGGACCTATGTACTTCCATCCTGACTGAAGATGTTGCTTTTGTTCTTTAGTAATCTTCTGATATTAATTATGCTTCCAATGTACTCTTTTGACTTCTGTCTTTTAAACTTACTCTGAACTTAACTAACATGAGATTCATCACTATCTTCAGTATCTGCACTATCTTCATTATATTATCTTGTCATTTTCAAGTGTTCATCTCTGGATTATATGCTTGTTGAGCATTGTATTGTAACTTTAGCTGTTACCACTATATATTACTTTATTTTTTTGCTGAATTTGGCATTTTTTTTAGAGGTTTTTGTTTTAATGGCACTTAGCATTTTTCAGTGGCATTTGTGAGTTGGCTTCTGTGCCTGTTTCTTGTATGGATGGAAGTTTGGTAATATTTCATGTCATTCTATATATCAATACTGCCGGTGTGCAGATGCATGACATGAAACCAGTTGCTACATCATGGAAAATCACAGCATGCAGATTAATTTAAAATTTGCTGCCTTGAAAATTTAGGTGTCATTGATGTAAAAGCATTTTTCAGATGTTTAAAACAGTAAAATAATTTTCCTATTTCATTGCAATCAATATATTGGTGGTTATACAGGGTGATCGTAAAGTCAGGAAACCCAAGATCACCTGTTCCTTGCACAGCTCAAACATGTCGCATGCTCTCCTTGGATGCAGGAAGGGAGGAAGGGTCCATCCTTGTCTAGTACGGACAAAATGTGTAATTGTTTGGGTTTCCTGACTTTACGATCACTCTGTAGTATTGCTACCTGAACTTGTTCCCATGTCATTGTTATGTTACAGCCCCCCTCTGGCAAGATTCAATTAATATTTTTAGTAATACTCTCCTAAGGGCAGTAGTTTTTGGATTAGAAGTGAGAGTAAACAATGTAGGAAGCATTTCTTAATGTTTATTATTCCTCCAAATTTTCCTAAAATGCCTTTAACTGGCTTTTCTTTTTCTGTCCCTTTAGGTCAGTGGGGACATTTGCGAGGGCCTTGGACTGTTCAAGTTCCATTCAGCAGCCTAGCCTCCATATGAGCGCTGCAGCTGCTTCACGTGATGTTACTCTGGTAGGTTTTCCACTTTTTTCTCTTTCCATTTCAACTTCATGGGCTTTTTGTTCCTGTTAATTATTTTGAATTTCTGCTTACAGTTCCATGTCATGCACATGCTCCATAAGCACAACTACAACTTCTCAAATGCAGTCTGCTCATTGGTGCCATCAACTGGCCCAGTGCTGTGCCGAGATGAAATGGAGGAATGGACAGCAGCAGAAGCATGCATATTTGAAGAAGCTCTTGATCGATATGGGAAGGACTTCAACAACATCCAAAAGGACTATGTCAGTTTTTTAAAACAAGCTGGATAATGAAAAAAAATACATAATACTAGACCATTTATTGGAATATCTTTGCTACTAGTGCCAGTATTGTTCTAAGCTTATTTGGTCCTAGTAGGCATTGATAATCAAGTGTGTGGATTTTCATCACAGTTGCCCTGGAAGACCCTGAAGAACATTGTGGAATTCTTCTACATGTGGAAGACTACTGATCGGTATGTTCAGCAGAAGAGGGTCAAGGCTGTTGAAGCAGAATCCAAGTTGAAGCAGGTGTACATTCCAAATTAGTAAGTTTCATCCTTTCCACCAATACTGCTTAGAAATTTATGCTCAAATACTGAAGACGCTTTTATTTACTCATCCATTAGAAATTTATGGAGTCCTATAATGGAAAAAAGAGGCTTATTAGCCATTTTATCTCACCTAAATTGGGTTTCAGTATTTAGGCCATATTTTCATCTGAGGATGTATATTTGCCTCTATTGTGTTTGTCATGGTCTTCATGAATGCAATCTTTCAATTCAATTGTAGCAGCAAGCCAAATCCTGCTGCCATCAACAATATAAAACCAGGAATGGTTAATGGTGATGATGGGATCTCAGGACGGCCATGTGAATCTTGCTCAGGTGAATTACTTGACTCCATCTATCCAGTCATGCAATGCCTTGGGGGTTGTATTGAAGTTATCATGTTGCATTGATTTCTGTCATCCAGCTACTTCATCCAGTCAGTGGTACTCATGGGGTAGCCTTTATCAGAAGAGGTTGTGCCAGGATTGTTGGAATTATTGGAAGAAGTATGCCGGTCTCAAGAATCCTAACATGACAGAAGACTCACAGGAAGGAGCTGACTCTGACGGTATGTATTCTTAATTGATTGTCTTTGTTTATGGAGAATATCAGGGGTCTTGTTTTGGATCATGTTGAGGAAGCTTATCTTTCATCTCTTGAATGATAGATATGCTGGTGCAGCAGCGACAGAAACAGGTGAATCGTGGGAACATGGACAAGTGTGTTCGTGACTTCTCAGTGAAAGGTGGCCTTGTTCGGCATGGTGCAAATGACAGGACCCTGTTCAACCTAATGGACGACACAGTGGTCAGTGGAAAGCCAATTGTGAAGACACGTTCAGCCTTTTGCATGAGGGTAACACCTCTTGGAAAGCTTGCCCGACATCTCTGCCAGCATCTCATTCGCCTTCGACATGCTGCCCGATCTCCGTTCTGGCGCATCGATGATCTTGCTGTCAAAAGAGAATGTATGGGTGGCCTCTGCACCTTTTGACTAGAAATGGATGCCTGGTATTTCATACTAGATTTTTATTGTAGGCATGCTCAGGTTAGGAGACAGAAGTCTTTTGGAGTGGATCCAGAGCCTGAAATCAATGAGGAAAGGTTTGGATCCAAAAGAGAGGACCAATTTGGGACGTATTGCCCATCAATTGGGTCAAACTGTGTCAGTGAGGCCAAGGATCTTAGCTCCCACAGACCCAGCCCTCTTGCCCCATCATGAGCGAGTTGCCTTTCCCCCTCCACCAAGAAGGAAAGGTATGTGCCAATAGCCCTACATTTTGCTTGTACAAGTCTATGCAGAAGCTTTACATTTTTTTAGGTTATAGGCCAGATGGACTTGAGCCAAGGTTTGTCTTTTTCAATGTAAAAATTAAGCCATGTCTTTGATATCCTGTCAAAAATTGTACAGACATATGCTAAAAATGCAAGGAGTATTTTATGTCCAAGTGGAGGGGAAAGGGAAGGGGTTAGGTGTGTAGGCTTGCAGAGGTTTTGGTTATTACTTCTCAGACACCATTTTCAAAGTTTGGCAAAGGTATATAAATCATCAATCCATGTATTAACTGTAAATATATACTTACATGCATACATTTTTGAAAATTTTAATTTTATTTATTTACTTATTTGGCCATATGGTTGACTATTACCATAGCACAGTCATCAAGTTATTCAATAGTACCTGTTGATTTGGGTTTGCTAAAAAATAGAGCTTTTTTAAAATAAAAATTAGAGATTATAATTCATACATGGTTTGAGTACGAAGGATTTTAGTTGAACATATGACTCATTGTGTGTTACTAGAGGTATTGAAGTGAATTTGACACATACATTCTTTATTTGTCTGTATACTTAAAGTGCATGCTATATGTTTTGCTAAGTAGAATGGGTAATTACCCTCCAGTGTATTTCTGCTACATCATTTTCTTATTTGATTCTATTTATGGAGGACATCCTTTGCTTAGGCTGGAAACAGCCTAAGTTGAACAGGAACAGTTGTATCTTTCTGTCATTGTATAATGTTATGTAGGTTTTATATTGTTTATTTCTGTCACTGAATTAATTCAACCCTCCTCCCTCAACAGCACCCAGCACTGAAGCTCCTTGCTTGGGTGCATTTGAAGACCTCTGTAAGAGCTGGTGCTATGGTTAAGATTGAACTGATATCTTCTAGCATTATGTAAGTCTCGTACTTGAAATTTAATCATGGATTATGATGTCTTATCTTTTCTTCAGATGGGAGCATAGCCTATGAGAGCATTCCTAATCGGAGATCTCCAGTTGAGCCAATGGTGGTCAACAACATGTCGACCTCATTGCTCAGGCGTAAGGCCTATCAATCCCACAATGGGCTGGATGGTAAGAAAGAATTCTTCTAACAGCTGAATAGAGGAAGATGGGGAATGTAAAGCTAGGTCAACAGCTCATGGGCTAAGGAAAGTAGTGATATAATACTCCTTGGCCTGATATCTTGATAATATTTGTGGCTGTGAAGAAGTTTCCGAATGCATCTTCATATTCAATCCCAAAAACAGTCCAAAAGATTCTGTTTGTGATGGATAAATTTTTCCCATCAGTGCACTTTTGTTACATCCAGATAGTTGTTAGTCATGGACAATGCAGTATTAAACAAGTGTTGAATGGAGTGCAGAATGAAGTACTCACATTTCTAAATTGCTTGTTCATTGGAATTTGCTTTCTTCTGCTCTTAATTGGGACCAGGTGAAGCATTCATTTTCTGCATGAGCCATGTTCATACTGAGTCTGCCCATATTTCTTCATGGCACTAGGTTTCTTCCAGTGCAGTCCTCCCTACATTTGCCTTAAGTACCTATCCAGTGGCAAAGAGTCTAAGATTGTTACATCCTACTGGCATTAAAATGCTAATATAAAATATTTATTGGCATACATATGTTAAAAGCTTTCAGATGAGCATTGAAAGGATGTCACAAAAGTTTGCCAATCCCCTAGAGAGGAGAACCTCTCCCCTTTTTACTCAGTCCAAGCTTCACCTATTCCCCATGCTCAGGGGTAAAGTGAAGCAATGGGAGTATATCTTAGGAGTGTTCTTAAGCAATAGAGTTGCAGCTGCCTAGTGGTATATGTTATCCTTCATGTTCATATCTATGGTTGGATATGAACAAGCACATGCAAATTTTCATCACTGTAAGCTTGAAACAAGATATTAGGTATTTTTCTGATTTTGGCTTTACTATCATCATCTTCACCTACTCCCTTCTTTTATTTAACCCTTTCATTGCTAAATTATTTTTATTTATGCATCCTTGTGCTGGGTTTTTCACTTCTGGTGCAACACAGGGGCCATACTTATAAAAATATATGTTTCCTCAATTAGCTTATTATGTAAGTGTATAATTGAACTGGTTCAGATTATCCTGAAAAATCTCAGCTAAAAACCACAAGAAGTTACACATTTTCATGTTTGAGTTAACTCAATCATAGCAGTGTAAAATGTTTAATACTGAAGTTATTATGAATTGATTCTTGACTTTGATATCTCACTGTACCAGGTCCAATGATGAAGCGTCCAATGAACCACTTGATGAAGGGTACTGTGGACTTGCACCCTCATGTCACATCCAGTCCAAGGCGACTTGTGAATCATTTCAACGGCCCTCGAGGGATCAATAGAGCATTTTTGGCTCCAAATCGAGCTGGGATACCTGGTGCATCATGGGTTGATGCTCCTGATGATGTCTATTTCCAAGCCACACGCACCACCAAGTATGATAATATTGTTTTTCCCTATTGCCCTGTCCATGCTATTATTTAGCCATAAAGTTAGTGCTATCAATTAGGAATCACAAAGTAGATGCAAAAAGTACTATGGAGGATAACAGCATTAAACTAAAAGTTATTGATAGATCTGTTCATGATTGTGAATGCATTAGAGGTAACAGCAGAGAGAGAGAGAGAGAGAGCAGCAGTGCCACACAGGATTCCTTAGAGACATTTGATGCTCATTGTCACATGTTAGTCATAGATCTGCTTTAGACTCTTTTATTATGGGAATCTTAGAGCACTAACTCAATGTTATGCAGTTTTTTGTGTTAATGTTTAGTGATTTTCATGTTTGTCACTAACCCTTTGGGGTCCATGCCCACAGTTATCTCATGTTGGCCTCATGATGAAAGGATGGGAAAAACTTGGGTGAGAGTGCTGACTTACCCAAATTACTCGAACCCCAAAGGGTTAACAAATAGCAATACTGTGGAGCAGGGAATTTGTGCAAGACTGGCATAAGACCACAGTGAATCATTACTTATTGGTTATTCCTGATTGCATTTTTGGGTTGACTTTTTCAGACGATCCCGTCGTCAACTCCCCATCACAGAACTGCGTCGAGCAGCCCGCCGTCCATGGCGAAGACTAACATTCAATCCCACTGTCATTGTGGACGGATGATGTAGCGCAGTGGGAGGAAGACTTATGTTTCTGCTTTTGCGTGTGCATCAAGTGCATGAACTGAGTGCATGAAGTTCAAGTATTTCTTGTGTGGGACAGTGACCGAAACAAGTGCAGGAAGTCATCCCATGGTACAAAGTGCACAAACAAGGGGTATTTCATGGCCAGCTTGGTGGTGATGATGACAAGGGGACAGAATCTTACCACCTCTTCTTCAAACCAGATGGCTTGCCATGTGAGCAGTCATCATGTAACTACCATCCATGTCATTTAAATCTTGGTTATTTTTTCCCTCCTTATTTCTGGGTCCCTTTTAGTCCAGAAGTTCTGTCTGTTTCTCGTATTTTGAAAAGTCTCTTTTTTCTCATCTTTGAAGATGATGGTTTGCGCTCACATTCAGGCCCATGCACAGGTCACGGTTTTCTGTTGCACCCTGGTAGCATGGTTTGTCACAATTATCTCTGCATCATGCTGGTGTTTATAGATCCTACATTTGAGGCTGAATCTGGAATCTTCAGTACCTCTATATCAGCTGGAATACCATGTTCTTCAAATTTTGAGTACCTCCCAACTTAGATCATGGCAGTCCATCATGCTTCATGGTAAGAAGTAATGACATTGTTAAATATTGGTCATCTTCATGAGGCATATTTTTTACACAAAGGAATCTAAAATCATGTTGACCTGAAATTTGTCTCTGTGGTACTTGAAACAGAACAGGGAATGGGGCTCAGATGTGCACTTGTGTAGCCAAGGTCTTGATTTTTGTGAGGGTGGTCCATGCTTCTCCTTGCCGGTGCACAATTGAGTATCTCCTGCCAATTCCAGTAGAACTGAAAACTCCAGTTTTTTGTGAAACCTTCAAACTTGAGAGAATAAACCGTGTTCCTTTGAAAATTTTTCCTGAAATCAGGAAGTCTCTGTTTAAGCACCAGTGGAAATAGTTTCCACCACAGTCTTTTGTCCATTCCTGTAAGGAAATCATGTGGAACTATTTGAAATTGAAATAATCCTCAGAAATTTCAATATCAAACGCCTTTTCGCAAGCACAACTGCCTTCATGGACATGTGGACATCTCCGCCTTGAATATGAAGATAGCGCGGTCTTTTGTGCCCCCAAAAGTGTACAAGTTGCTCCGTGAGTGTCGGGACGTGGTACAACGTGTATCGTACCGCAGCCCGATTGCTGTGGCGGCCCAACGGTCGAGCTCAAGAACTAATCGTCCTTTGCATATGAAGTTGAAGAGGAGTGACCCATCAGAACATATTTTTGTGGTGGGTCAGTCGCTCCCATCTATGATCGTGAAGAAACGCTGATTTTCATGAAACATATTCCAGTTCAATTAGTTGACTAGATTGGATTAGGTCGACTCGGAACCCAGGATGACCTGTAATTATACACTTTACTTGGGTGGAAACCTTCGAATAGCAGACTCCTGCCTTCCTCATCCTAAGCCAAGGCGCATTAGCAGATTTATTGTTCTTTCCACAAGTTCAAGAACCTCCCAACCCTTCCATACACTCGAGGACAAGAGGCCCAAACATTCTAGGCTAAAGCCTTGAGCATGTAGTACAGAGTGGACGGTTGTGGCAGGGCCGGATTAAGGAGGGGGGCAAAAGGGGCAGTTGCCCGGGCCCCACTCTTCCAGGGAGGCCCCCAAAGGAAATTAAAATTAAGTTTAAAAAAAGTATTGTATTTGCGTAAAGTAGCGGGGGGGGGGGGGCCAGGAATTCACTTGCTCCGGGCCTCGCAACTTCTTAATCCGGCCCTGGGTTGTGGGAATTGCTGAGCCGATTCGCGTTTAGTTGGCTGGCAGGCATCCAAACGACTTCTCCGGTATTTAGTCGCGCGACGTCACCACGCGTCTTTTCAAGAGGTGAGACCATCACTAGAAGGCGTTCCTTAGTATGATCCTTAAGTGGGACGAGGTCTGAAACGGGGCCCGAATGAACCTTTCGCTTAAGAAACCATTCCAAGATCACTCGCGCTCTGGAAAGAGTCCATCATAAGGAACTCGAGCTTCAGAGAATCAGAAAAAAAGTTGGGAGGAGTGGGGGACTTTCAGGACCAGAAATAGATCGGGTTGCAACAGAAGCATGTTCCCATCAAACACTTGCCAACCGTAGCTTGCATATGACCTGATGCAGAGTTGCATCAGGTCATACGCAAGCTACGGTCGAGCATGCTTGACTTCCATATTCTATCCAGTCTTATTCGATATGAAACATGCGTACATCCCCATGCACTAAAGTTACTTAATATTAGAACAGGGCTTCCCAACCCAGACCCCATTTGGGGTCGCAAAGATCATGTCTGGGGTCGCGAACCGGCAACAAAATGCAAAGTTATGTTTTTCTTTGCGATTTTAGCGCATAGGTGGCCTATGTGCAGCATATTCAGCGCAATGCATTGCAGTTCTTTCTACGAAATGGTGGTAATTGCAGCAGTGATGTTATCCTTTAACTGATCAATTGTTCCTGGATTGTTCTGTTACACATTACCCTTAAGGTTTCCCCCACAAGTAAAAATCACATGTGCTCAAATCGTTGTCAAGAGACTCTTTGCTTGTTGCGCATGCGGTATTCGGCGAAGATCGCACCGTTTCAACAAGTAGCTGGCCTCCACGATCGCCCGATTCAAGTACGTGAACCTTAAGGAACCTTAATACTATAATAAAATAAGGAACCGTAAAGTGTACCCAGATTTATTTTCTCTTGAATGAAAGTTTCGTTTTGCAGCGAAATTCAGCATCGACTTCATTCCCATGGCTGCTTTGAAAAGACAAGCAATGACTTCCAGATATTTTAGAAGGGGAAGTGGAATCGCGACATGCAATGAAATCCTGCGATGGCGACGGGAATCTGTATAGGTAGGTGATAAAAATTCAGAAAAAGGCTTTTTATGATTCTGGAAATTCCGGAATTTACGATTCTGAAGTAGAAGCAAGCTCAGCGTGCCTCCAACTTGCTATTTGCAATCAAACACCGCCAAACATCAACGCCTGGCTTGCATTATATTTTAAAAGAGAACAAATTTAAGATATTTGCAACTACGATCCAGGCCTATGCTTCCACGAAAGCTCTGAATTCCACGTGCCAATTGTAGCCATTGAGCTACTCGTTGCTAGCTTCTTTTCCAGTTGTTCTTTGTCACTTCATTCGAAGATGTCACACTTGAGCTGCATACTCCTGTTACTGCCCTGGTTTCCTTGGGAGCAGCGGCATAGCGTTGCGGGGCACGTGTCCCCCCACTTTCCAGAAAAAGTAGGAAGGAAAATATGCATGAGAACAGTGTCTTAGAGTTTCTGTGGCCCCGTACTTTTTCCATCCAAGCCACGCTTACTGCTTAGGTGCATTGTTCTGGTTGGAAGTACGCAAACCAAGGACTCCATTGGCTTCGGTCACAGCGATAACAATGTGTACTTCTCGGTTCAGGTTTTTGTTGATGGTTATCAACAAAAGGCTCTTCTCGGTGGTCTCTTGGAAACACCATCGTAGCATGAAATTATATTTATTTCCTATTACCGATGAGCATAAAAAACAAGCAGCATCATACTTTTTCGCTATAAACCGAGATGCAACTGATAAAACGAAAGCGCTCTTATGTATTGAGCAGTTCTTGGGAGCACGGGCTTTTTCGGGACATCCTAGCTATGCACCCAATGCTAAGCAACTATTTACTTTATATGCAATGCTCAACCCTACTTTACCTTCACACAGAGGCGTCATCATACATCTTGTAGTCGAGTGTAAGCCTACCGGACTGTGAACGAAAAAGCGTCACCCTACCCAAGAAATACTACATAATTTTGCAGATGCATAGCTTTATGCTAAAATGCAGCAGAATGTGGAGAGGGCGGATCGTAGCTCTGCAGTGAACATGCATCCCATGATGAATCTCGCATCCGCCGGCACCACAACCAGCCAACATGGCAGCCATGAAGGCTACAGTCAGCATGATTTGTTCCACAGCGGTCTTCCTATTCTTGTCTTTCTCTCCTCTTGTGTACTCAAAGAAAAGTTCGTTACTGGTGCTTGACGAAAATAACTGGAGTGACATGCTCGAAGGAGAGTGGATGGTTGAATTGTAAGTGAACTGTAACAGAACCATTGATCTTAGGTTAAGATAAGATTCATCATAAGGCTAATTGTGAGGGCGCAAGCCTATGATGTTGGCGAGTGAGGCCTACTCTATAGCAAGGTGTAGTTAAAGCTACTCATGCTCTTCTCATTAGATGAAACGCCCACCTTTCTCGATTCACTAAACACAATTCATATAGGCATAAATCAAGTTCTCCTAACTTCCGCTTACAGTTAACCAAACGTGTCCGGTTAACCGAGCGCGAGTAGAGTCTTAATTGATTGGGATTCCTATTATATATAATACACACCACACTGTATGGTTAACTATGTCCAATGGGCAACTGTAAGTGGAATAGGTCTATTCATCAGAAAAAGAGCAGTACTTTTTCAGTCATAAACTTTCTAGAGTAAGTAGTTTCCCCATTCCTCATGGTGGAGTAGGACCTTGGAAGCTCTGTACTCAAGGCGGTTTAAGTCTGGAGTGGAATAGTGTTACTATTTGTCTGATGAATAGGGTTCGTTCATTTTAAAATGTGTGAGATTCAACCTGTTTCATTTATTGCTACATTAACACTCCCATTCCCTTCGCTTGCAGTAGCAGACAGGTTGAAGCATGATATGAAGGACATCATATCTCTTATGGTCCTCCCCCCTACCACCAACGGAGAGTTTTTGAAATTTTGTCCTGTGGACCAGAACAGGATGATTGATGAGTACAAAAATTGATATTAAGCTCCATACACTACCATTCATGGTCACATTTATGTTCCTGCCTTGATTCTGCAAGTTCTTATATTCTGTACCTATGGACCTACCCAATGCACATGACAGTATCTCTTGTACATTGCTTCATTACCCAGTGGAGCCACAAATCCCCACATATAAAACACGGAGTCCTATTTAAAATATTTTGGATGGCAAAGGTGGCTGTCAAATTTATCCACTTTTCTCTCTCTAACCACAGAACACTGTTACATGCATGTTACCTTATGTCAAAGTTGCTGAAGCAAGTCTTGGTGATTATTTAAATAGGCCTATGACCCTCAAGTGATAAAATACAAAGAATCAGGATTAACACCATGCAGTGGAAGGTTTTTGTGCTTTCCTGATTGCAGCAGGGATGGGGTCTTAATCCCAATACCTCCACCTCTGGAGTTCCACTCCAAAGAGTTTTACATTTCAAGTATCAGTTTGGGCTAGAGCCAAAACAGTTAAGAGTAAACTTCCTAGAGAAATTGCTTTCCTCCAGTCTCTAATGTTTTCAGATGAATTTAACTGGAAACATGCATCATTGGTTAAAATTCCTCTAGAATAAACACTGTACTAACCTAATTTGACCTGACCTGACTTTAGGAGCAACATAATATCCCTAGTGGTTGTCTGCTTAACCTTAACTGCTAGGGCCTCTATGTATATATTATGTTTAAATCAACCAGAGCAGGCTGACATAATGAATGTGGGAAGCACCAGAAGGAGGTGGATTTGACATAATGAACTATGCCCCTTCCCATTCCATATGTGAATACATTTCCCTTGTCCTTCCAAGTATTGAAAACTGCTATTTTGGAATGTTGAAGACATTAAATAAAAATCTTAATGGAGGATTTTTGTGCTCTTTTGTGCTCCCATCTTCATTATGGTATAGTATGCTGGGACATTTGAAACCTTTAAAAACTATTAGAGAGACTACAAAACCATATGTTGTACTTATGTAGGATATAGCCCCTGCAATTGTGGCCCATGATTATCCCCAGATTGCAATTTATTGTATTTTATGCTTTTATTCTGTGTGTCATCTCTATTCTTTGAAATTTGGTAGTCTACTTTCTTCACAATCTAATGTATCATAAGAATGGCTAGGATTCTCTCAAAGCAAATCTCACAAATCACAGAGAGCCTCTCATCTGTATGAGCCTCTGATGTACTCCTAGTTAGTGTAGATCTTGGCCTAAGTTCTTTCAGCATGTGCCGAACTTTCAAATAAGTAAATCACTCACATCAACCTCATGCTAAACCTTTCAGCTTTGCTCCTTGGTGCCCTGCTTGTCGAAATCTACAGCCAGTTTGGGAAGACTTCGCAGGTTGGAGTGATGATCTTGGGATCAATATTGCTCAGGTTGACACAACAGTCTCTCATGGCCTGAGTGGTCGTTTCCTAGTCACTTCCCTTCCCACAATATACCAGTGAGTAGATTCTTTGATATTTTCAGACCTGAGTGCATATGTGATTAGCCAAATTTAACTTAACTAGCCATTGGACTTTGAAAGGCTGGCAGGCCTTCGCTAGTGCAACATTCAACCTTCAGTGATAAAAAACCACTGAAGGTGTACGTTGCTTCAGATGAATGAGACATGTATGCTCAGTGGATGGAAGTGAAGAATAAGGTCTATCTTTTTCCAGCGTCAAAGATGGGGTATTCAGATTTTACCGTGGTTCCAGAGACAAGGATAGCTTCATCTCCTTCATTGAAGAAAAAAAGTGGAAGGAGATGGAGCCAGTTCCTGGTTGGAAGTCTCCAGGTGCTTTCCACATGAACATAGTGGCTGGATTTTTTCGCATCTCCATGTCCCTCAAAGTATGTTTTGAAGCCTCTTGAAAACTTTTAAGCACCATCAGTGTGTCTACAGAAAATGACATTATTGCATACCTTGAGCTTTTAAGCTCTTATGATTTGTGTGAGGCTGATGGACATGGACATTGTCTTGAGTTTGGTTTTGATTGGGTGTACCATTTACATAAGATCATTTAAGGAATGTCACCTGCATTATAGAAGACAAAAGTTTTTCCTATCCCAAAGTTCAAATCATCAATTTTCCCCCATGTCTATTCAGGTGGCAGTGACAAGTATGAGCACTATTCTGAAACATGAGCTAATGCTGAAAAATGTGGCAGTGTTTGTTAATTTTTTTCTGGAAAACTATCAGAACTTTTTGCAGGCACCTTATAACAAAGTGAAGTAATTCAATCAGGGCATGATTTCTTTCACATGAATTGATATGGTTTTCTTGATATTTCCTGTAGTCTCTGCACACAAAATTGTCTGAGGAATATGGCATCTCATCTTGGGGCATTTATGGAGTATTTGCTCTTGGAACCATTGTTGTTGGAGCAATCTTGGGATTGGTAAGTTGACAGCCTTCTAATCTAATCAGTTTTTTTTTTTCTAGTTTCTAATTTTCTTCATCAATATTTTAGCTTCCTTTAAATGTTTCAGTCATCTGAAGGTTTTTTTTTCTATCTGTGCCTTTTCAGATTCTGGTCTGTCTTATGGACTACCTTTATCCACCAAAGGGGACTGATGACTTTGTTGAGAAAGTAAAGGAGCTTGAAAGACAAAGAAAAGAGGAAAGAGAGAAAGGGAAAGATGGTCTGGAAGGTGAAGAAGAAGAGGAAGAAGATGAGGACAGTCAAGGCAAGGACTCTGGGACAGATGAGAAGGATGAAACATATAGTGAAGAGGTAGGAAGTAATGTCACTTTTAAATACTAGGTGGCCCATAAAAAAAAGTTCCTTGGTTGCAGACAGAAAATGCCATGCAAAGAATCAGCAGGAAATTTACAGGTTGCCAAATTGAACATGTCCAGATGGTTATGTGAAAATTTAATTGAAACTAATCTATAAGGACCCAAGTAGCAATTGTGTCTCCATAACTTGTCATATTTGAGTGTACGTGAACTCATCCACTCACTGGTGTGGCAAGTGAACAACATATCATATTTACTCCAGTGTAGTGCACTATCATGTATGAGATGCATCCCCACTTTTGATGTAGAGAAAAAAAAAAAAAAACCTTGTGTATAAGGCACACCCCCATATTTCGTAGCGAGAGGCCTCAGGAACAAGGGGGATGGGAAAGGGAAAAAACTATCATCAGGTCGGTCATGCCTGGTTTCCCCTTCACTGTCTTGATGTCGTATTACAAGGGGCACATTTCAGTCTCATCATACCAGTCTCTCTGACACATTTCATTATCTGTGAAAATGGGGAATGAATGGTGAAGTTACACTGCTGGTGAAAAACTCAAAGTGATTCAGATAGTGAATGAGTTTGGCATCTGCTCAATAGGTCAAAAGTAGGACATTGGGGAAAGCTGCATACAGAAGTGGATCAAGGAGGAGACAAAATTGAGTGGGGTGTGAAAGACTCTGATGGCTTTCCTCGGGAAAAAGGGATCGTATCCGGCAAAGTGACGAAATAACGTAGCCATTCCCACAGTTTGCATATTATTTTTATAATTTCAATGTTCAGACTGACTGCAGGTACTATTTCCATCTCAAAAAATGACCAATGAGTTATAGGTACGTTGAAAAAATGTGTTTTCATAAAAAAATTTTCTTCCCCAAGTATAAGATGCACTCCCTCATTGATTGTATGAAAATATGTATTAAAAAAAGGGCCTTATACATGAGTAAATATGGTAATAGCCTGGTGAGTGAAATGCAAACGAAGTCCCCCTTTTCAAAAGTTTTTGTCTCTCTACATCACCCATTGGAATACCCTTGATGTCTGCCTGGTGCTGTCTGTGCAGATGCTATGTTTTTGGTTGTGGGGAGGGTAGAGCTGGGACAAAAGGAGGCTAGTAAAAGTTGAGGAAATTCTTGCAGGGCTGATTATCAGCCATGGGAACTTGTTTATGGGTCACCCACAGTATTCCTTGGTTTCCTGTGACGATATTTTCACTTTCAATACTAATACTTGCTAATAATTCAATTCTTAGGGGACAGAAAGTCCTGAAGAGTTGACTGGATCTCAAGGGGAATCAGAGGAAGATGAAAATGAAAATGGAAATGAAAATGAAAATGAAGATGAAGATGAAGATGACTCTGCTCAAGTGAGAAAAAGACGGCCACGAAAAGACAATTGAGGAAAGTACCTCAAATGAGCATTCACTTTGTAATTGAAGGCATCTCCGTGAGCAGAAGGAGAACTTATTATGATCTGAAAAGGTTATACAGCCCTAATGCTACATCTTCTATGGGCTCCTAATCACCACAAGTCTGTGCTGATGTGCCCTGATTGCATCATAGATCAGCTTTTCTGCCTGTGTTCCACTTCTCCTCACCTCTTTCCTCCATGTGATGAATATTACATAGGATTTTCTTTTGTGTCACTCTGTATAATTTTGCTCATTTTAAATTATTTGTGCTTTGAATAATTTATGTATTTTTTTCTGTAAACAGCTCTTATGAATCAAGATTGTTTAAATAATGAGCCTCCTAGAATTCAACTATTTACTTCTTTTGGGACCATTTTAAAAGTTTTTATTTCAATGCTTTTGAATCTTCATTATTTGATCAATGGGCAATCAATGGGAAGGCAACTGGTTCTGGGACTTTGACTTTGTGTTTTAATTTCTTCTCTTTCCCTTGGTGGGCATTTATTTTTAAAGATACTCGAGTCTAGATTTTGTAATTAATGGACCCACTGTAATCCAACTGATAGTTACTTGTGGGACACATGCCAGTAAGAACTGACATGGAGCCATGTTTGGTGTTTTCTGGACTGACTCATAGCTACAGCCAGAAATGCTCCATAGATATACTCTCTTAGATTAGAGTGAGAAGCCAGATTTGCCATCTGGATTCCTTCCTTTCTCTGTGCAAATAAAAAGTCTCTTTCAAATAGTTGTGGAAAATCAGAATGACAAGGTTCCATGCATTTTCATGAGAATCTCCTTGTGTTTCTAGGCCTATTCCGGTTCCTGTCCCTTGAGTCAGTGAACATTGTGCCTTCTGTCCTCCGTATGCAATGCAGTAGATCTGCACTATTTTACAGCACATCCTGCATTCTTTCCACTCAAATTTTCTACCCAAGGCTTTTGACATATATCCACATGTATTTGCTTCTAGCATTGTGAATTAAACCCAATATTTTTAGAAGTTCTGGGTCCATTTGAGGTTCTAGGCATCTCAACAGTTGATATGTTGTGGAATAACATTACTGATATTAAAAAAATTGAAAGTGGAGGTGAGTGCTCGCTTGTGATAAGACTCCTGAAATTCCCTTGCTGTTGATGATGATGAAATTTGGGCAGGAAATAAAGGATGTCTTGTATGTTTTCATGAGATGATTTATGCTGGAGTTTTGCTTAAATATGAAGATTCAAATGTCCCCTGCTCCCTTCTTCAGGGATGCATTGGCCTCCTGGTGCTGCTCAGGGAAACCATATCATTTCCCATATCCTTTTTCGTCAAACCTGAATATTCTCCAAGTCCTTCCTGATTGCTGAAAGTTTTAATGTGGTCATTTCTTGCCTCATTTCAGGTGGAAGAAGCACTGGAATGTAATCAGGGCTTCTCATGCACTGCTTCCTTTTGATTAGGCCTTGATTATTTGATGCATTTGAAACTGTAGACATGAGTCAGTCGAAAGGAAGAAGCACAGCAGCCCAATTCTTCTTGGAGGAAGAGACCTTTGGTGCAAAGCCTGGAAAGTCCACCTATGACAAGGTCTGTTTTTTTGTTTTTTTTTATCCAATCCCAAGATTTTGGAGCACTGTGTGCATTTACCTGAGGTTCATTTCATTATCCTTTGAACATGCAGGTGGTGGATCTGCTGAATGCAGCATCTATGTCAGAGGATTCTCGGGTGACAAATCTACGCCAAGTACAGGAGTTAATATGTCATCAGGACCCAAATCTTCTTGATTCCTTTCTGGATGAAGTCCTTGCATTTCAAGGCGATCGATCTCCTGATGTCCGGAAGACTGTCATTGGTTTCATTGAGGAAGCCTGGTGAAACAACTAGCCCTTGTTTATAATATCAGGCATTCTATATCATGCACATTCAAGTATCATGTGTTCTTCTGTTGTCACTTGTAGTAAGAAGGACCCAGAGATGCTACCAAAAGTAATGGCCAATCTCCAGATCTCCCTGGTTGAAGAATCTCCTGTTGTAGCCAAACGTGTGATACAGGCTGTGACACAGCTATACAAAGTGACCCTCTTTTGGCTCTGCCAAGCAAAATCCATCAAAGAGGTGATGGAGACTACCTGGGACTACATGAAGAATGTCAAGGAAAAGATCTTGCACATGATTGACAGTGATAATGATGGGTGAGCATAAATTTCATTTTGGTTCTTGAAGACTGGGGGAATCCAGTAACTGAGGTGAATAAGCTTCTTGTAGGATCCGGACCCACTCCATCAAGTTCATGGAAGCCATAATCCTTGTCCAGACAGCCCCTGAAGTGGAAAATCCTAAGAGGAAGCTTCCAGATGACTTATGTCTGGATGATGTTCCCTTGACCCTGAAAATTGCACGACCTCGGAAGCTAGAAGAGGAAGCCAAGTGAGAAATTTTTTATTTATTTATTTTATGTTGAGATTCCCTGCTCTTGATGTTATCACATGGAATTCCAGGCATATTTTTGATGAGCTCATCAAGTACCTAACTTCTGCTCACATCTCAAGTGTGAACCTAATGGCAGCCATGGGAGCTTTGTCCAATATTGCTCGACAGAGACAACTCTTCATAGGGAAAGTGGTGGCAGCACTTGAGACACTACATGGTTTGTTTACTTTTGGCTTTATTCTTTCTTGGAAATCATACAGACTGGCTAAAAGTGTGTGCTACAATGGAATTCTGCAGCCAATCTGCCTCCAACACTTGGGAAGTCTCAAGTAAGTTCAGTGAGAAAAATGCTGAAGATGCATCTGCTGAACCTCTTGAAACACCCAGCATCAGTGGACTATCATGCCAACATTGCAACTCTTCTTACTGACCTGGGAGCCACTCAGCAGGAAGTGATGAAATACATGCCAAAAGTGGAGGAGTTGAGAAAGAGACAGAGGGTGAAAGAAGAGGAGGAAGAGAAAGGGGCAAAAAAGGCAAAGATGCAACAGCTGGAGGAAGATGAAGAGGAGGATGATGATGATGCTGATGAGGAAGACATAACCAGCAAGAAGAGAAAAAAGAGTGAACCAGTTGAGCAGGAACCTTCAGCTGTGGATGTCATGGAAGAGTTTGTCTTCCAGCGCCTCCATCCTCCCACTGTTGCTGATCTGGTCCTTGTTTCCATGGTCAGTATATTGTCTCTGGCTGTTTCATTATGATGTTTTTGCTTTCCTCTTGAAGCATCCTAATTCGTGTCTGTGATTGACACTGCAGTTGAATCTTCCAGAGGAAATGCCCTCACTGTTTGCATCCACATACACCCCAATTGCTGCTGCTGGCACAACAGCCCAAATCAGGCATGTAGCTCGCCTTCTTGCCACACAACTAGCTTCAGTTGGGATCAGAACCAATCGAGAGCAGCAGGGTGAAGCTCCAAGTGCACCTGACTCTTCTCAGGTAAGCCTGGTTCCCCACTTACCTTTGCAATACTACACTGAAAAGTTTTAAACTATGCCCTTGGTCCTTGTTTTAACATGAGTAGAAGGAAGATGAAGAAGCAGGAGATGATGAGTCATTTGCCATTCAGACTGTGGTAGGCCGTTCCATCAGCTCCAAAGATGAGGAACAGGAGAAGAAAATTCTCCTTCCATCAGGTTCGCATTTTGTTCTATTCCATGCAGTTCCATTTTCCATATTGCATTTTTTCCCACAAATGATTGCAGGTACTTTGGTATGCTCTTGCAGGTGGGCAAAAACCCTCAAAGCGACCCAAGACACTCAAATTAGCAGAAATCATAAAACCTGTAGATGTAGGCATGCAGCAAAAGTTATTGCTTGCAAACTTTGTAAGAATCTTGGAAGCAGAAAGAGCAGCTGCACATGGAAAGGCCATGGGAATGAGGAACAAGATCATCTCTAGCATCTCATCATTCCTTACTGAAGAAACCACACCAAGTAAAACCTGGCTTTTTCTTGCCTTTGGCAAATGAGAGGATTGGTCGAAATCTTGACATATGTTTATTTTCAGTGGTGATTGGGTTCATCTCAGAGGAAATGGGAAAAAGGTTGGACCTGGCTGTTAGCTGGCTATTTGAAGAGTATTGCATGCTGCAGGGCTTCAATCAGATTGGAGCACTCATCCGTGGAGGAGGGCAGCTTGTGGCTGAGGAGCGATACAATTCCACATTATGTCGCCTTGTCAAGGCCTACATGGACAGGGCAGATCATCCAGATAGGGATAGGTATGGGTCTCTTGCATCTCACATGCTGAAGAACATAATCTTTTATTGGTGCTTTCCTGAGTTCTGCATGATAAATTTCCCTCAGTCTGGTGTGTGAGTTGTATCTACAAGCCCCTCTGGTGACTGATCAGGCAGTGGAACTGATCAAGTGGTATTGTATCACTGAGGACAAAGGAGAGAGTATGTGTGGCCTCCTCAAGGACCTCATTCTTCTTAGGCCTTCTAAGCAGCTCTTGTTTCTCAATGCCCTGCTGGAGCTTACTGCCCATGAGAACAACACGGTTGGTTCTTTTCTATTTGAATGTATTTACATTGAAGAGGTTGAAGAAGAATTGCAAAATCTTGAGAATAATGTAGAACAGCTTTAGAGCAAAATAACATTTTTTTATTCAGTAGGTAATTTTTGGTTGATGCTCATTTCACAACTTATTTGTTGGTCTAGAGAACCCTCTAAGATATTCTTATCTTAGTAGTCTGTCCGGTTTATCCTCAAGTGCTGGTCTTTGATTCTAGCAGATCTACACAAATTGCTACATAGAAATTTTCTGTGTTATACTTGCAGTTTCTGTTCTAAAACTGAACTTAAACTGAGCTTTAGTTTAGAGTTGCATGGGTGCTGTTCTAATGACCCATTGGGAACGCTTTGCATCCATAAATCTTGAGAGGTATGAGTTGGTATTTGTAGGTAAGGAGCCATGCACTGAAAGTGGTGCTACAGTTGGGAGAACGTGGGGACCTGAAGAGCATCATTGAGGAGTATGCAAGCATGTACCTTCGCTTCCTCATCCTATCAGAGCCCCCCCATCTCCTCTTCGGACCCGAACGAGGACGACCCGAAGTCCAGTCCCAATGGATGGAGGACTCCATCAAAGTTTGCCTCTACCTCATCCTTGCCCTTCTCCCGAACAACCACGATCTCATTCACGAGTCAGTTTCTTCCTTTGATGATCACCTACAGGAATGAGCAGAAGTATTTTCAATGGGTTTTTGCGATTTAGGCTGGCCCAAGTTTACGTCCAGACAAGTGCAGATATCAAGAGGGTAATCCTCCGCATCCTTGAAGTACCCGTGAAGGGAATGGGCATGAATTCTCCAGCATTACTTAAGCTGGTTCAGACATGTCCTAAGGGTGGCGAGACCCTTGTTACTCGGGTCATTCACATTCTCACTGATCAGAGTGGGTTTATACTTCTGCTTAGGTTGAAGTCGCAGAGAAGGATGTTGATCATGTGACTATTTCTTTTTCTTCAGCGCCACCAAGTGAGGAGCTGGTGACACACGTGCGAGAACTGTACAATAAGCGTGTGTCGGATGTCCGCTTCCTCATCCCGGTGCTTACAGGACTCACCAAGCGAGAAGTGATCGCTGCGTTACCGAAACTTATTCGACTTAACCCCATCGTAGTGAAGGAGGTCATTCGACGTCTCCTCGGCCTTCAGGTAGAGCAGTCTCCTCTCACACCCGCTGAGCTCCTTGTGGCCCTGCACAATATAGATGCCAGCAAGTGTGATATGAAAACAGTCATCAAAGGTAGGCTTCGTTAGCATCGGTTTTCGATGGTTTCGGTGCTGTGGTTGTTGCAGGGTTTATGTTGCTTGCAGCCACGAATCTGTGTTTTGTGGAGCGAGACTTGTATACCCAAGAAGTTCTGGCCCTGGTGCTTCAGCAGCTGATGGACCAGGATCCGATTCCAACCCTGCTGATGAGAACTGTGATTCAAAGCCTTACCCTCCATCCGAGACTGATTGGCTTCGTCATGAACATTCTCCAGCGACTCATCATGAAGGAGGTGCGAACAAGTTTTTTTTTTGCTATATGCAGGCCTCTTCCGTTAATCCAGGCATCCGGATGCCTGAAAAATTTAATGAGTTAAATGAGTTCATTTCATAATGGACTTAGTATACGACAGCAGTTCCTTAACGGAAAGCAAAATTGCACGTTGCTCTCGGGAGACATAGCTATACGTCTATAGTGCTCCATGTTGCACCGCAATCTCGGAAGTAGGAATTGTATTATATTCAGGACAGCATGCTGTAACAATTTTCTTGATGCATTACAAGATGGCAGTTCTGAAACTGCATTTTTTGAACAGGGATGAGCATGCTTTGCCTCTGCGCAAGACGACCTGCTTGAGAGGCGTTTTCCAAAAAGAATTCCTTCCCCTTATCCCCAGCAAGGAGGCCGTTCCACCGTAAGGTATTAAGGACCGGTGTTATTTCCATTCCGGTTGGCTTATTCATCGAATGGTCGTATGAGGCTTTTTCGAGCAACGGTGCCAGAGACAGGTGTGACAGGGCGGAAGACAACTGCAGCGTGAGAGGGGGGCGCCCTCGATTGAAAGGAGGCTAGCCTCGCACAAGTAATGCTTGTGTGAGATTTTTTTTTTCCCCTGTTGCTCTTATTCCGGGAAAGGGGGAGATAGGAAACGGACTTTTTTTTTTGTTCCCAGGTTAAAAGGGAGGGTGGAGTAAACGGGCAGGCCGGAAACGCTTTTCTGTGTGCAAGAGGGAGAGAAAAAAAGAAAATAAATTTCTTTGTCTTTCGTACTCATTTGTAATCTTTGGAATGGGACAGGAGAAAAGGGTCCATATTCTGAGTTTGACCTCAATTCTAGGAAAGATTTGGTTCTTCAATATAGGAAGCACTCCCTTAAGATGAGGATCCTACTTGTATATACACGCTTGCTCCAGTAATGCCTCAAATGAAAGCGCTAGACTCACGCGTATTATATTGTTTTGTCACAGGCGATTTCTTTAGTCAGGAATGGTGGCACCCACGGTTGCAGATCTACCTAGTCTTACGTATTGTGGTTGGCCGCATGATATTCAAAGATACTTGGGCGACTGTAAGGCGTAATATGCAAATAATCCTGTTTATTTTATTCGATTGTGGTCACGGGTGAGAAAATGTTAACAACCCTGGAAATTGTTCGTGAAAAAAAAAACCATAGCATGGACCTAGCATGGTAGGATGTAACTAAGTCCAGGAACGTTTAAAAATTGAGCTACAATGAGTAGGACCCCTTGTTGTGAATTCTGAGGGGTATTAAACCTTAGAAAATATTCTCGTAAATTCAATCGTTTACTTTGATAACTACCTGAAAATAGCAACTACTATGCTGGTTGTCAAAAAGTTGGGTAGAAAAAAAAACTTATGCAATGGACGCATGTACACGCGAAGCAAATGTACAGGGTGTCCCAACGAATCGTAACAATTTGATTTTTGAATAACTTTCTTAATTCTTCACCGATTCTGATTGCGTTTATATCCTTTTGTAGAAAATTTCAATAGAATTTAACTGACACCTAGTTGAGCTCAAACTGATGAATATGAAAGGAATTGCAACGGTTTCCGTGAGGTACTTTTCTTTTTGCCAAAAAATAAGGTACATTTCGAACCCAATACCATTTATTGCAATGATAAAAAACAATTACGATGCATAGGTAATCTCAATATGTGCCCCATTATTGTCAATGCATCGTTGGAGCAGATCATAGTAAGAAAGCAGCGATTCGTAGCGCATCTCAATAGTGACTTCATCAATTGAACGACAGATGCGAGTACGGAGATCAAAAAGGTCACGGACTGGTGATGTGTACACCAAACTTTTAATGTATCCCCACAAGAAGTCCATTGGGGTCAAGTTATGTGATCGTGGTGGCTATAGCATATTTTATGACCCACGGTCCATCCAGCTTTCTAGAAAGCTGGATGGACCATTCTCGTTGAGTCATGCACAAAAGTCACGGGACCAATGCGGGGACTCTCCGTCTTGCATGAACCGCACTTCTTTCAGATTGTCAAATCGATCACACCGTGATCAGCTCCAGCGATGCATTGGCAATAATGGGGCACATATTGAGATTACCTATGCATCGTAATTGTGGTTTTTTTATTACTGCAATAAATGGTTTAGGTTGCGAAATGTGCCTTATTTTTCTATAAAAAGGTGTACCTCACGGAACCGTTGCAATTCCTTTCATATTTATCCGTTTGAGCTCAACCAGGTGTCAGTTATATTCTATTGAAATTCTCTACAAAAGGATATAAACGCAATCAGAATCTGTAAATAATTAAAGTTATTCAAAAATCAAATTCGCCCAAATTCCTTTTATAATTCTCGTGGATCACGCTAGGCAGTTAACATTAGTTTTGAACAAAGTGTATGCCTAGATCTCAGGTAGATATAGGAAAGCGCTGAATTGTATGCCAATTTTATTCGTCGTTTCAACATGTTTAACTCGGTGGACAGGTATGGCAGTACCCAAAGGTGTGGGAAGGGTTTGTGAAGTGTTGCCAGAGGACTGTGCCTCAGAGCTACACGGTGCTTCTTCAGCTCCCGGCTCCGCAGCTCAAGTGCGTTTTTGAAGCGGCTCCGGATCTCCGGGATCCACTTCTTAGGCACGTCATGGCGTTCACTGATTCTCAGGTGATTGATGACTGCATCGCACGAATTTTAATCATTTATACATTGAGATTTGATTGGATATGTGTTATTTCTTATTATGAACAGCGAAGCCACCTTCCGAATTCCATTATGGATGTGCTGCAAGGGAACCTTGGCGACATTCTCACAGAGCCTGTCTCTCCGGACTCGACTGTAAGTTTTTTTTCCCGTCTTGTGAGAGGGAACATGGTATGCACAGATACATTTGGATGATGAATGAATTGTGATGATCTTACGAATAGGCTGGATCAGATGCTGAACTGCAGATCAAGGAGGATTTCCAAGATGAAAGTCTTGACGACCCGATGGCCAACAATCAACCCATGCCTCCTGGGACGTGATGTTTCAGCACTGGCAGGACTTGAAGAAATGCACCAACTCCTTTATCTAATATTTTTCATAATATTGTTACATTTGAGCTAATACAGCTTGAATGAAAATTTGGCTCTTCCTTGCTGATGCATTGCAATAGGGATCATTTTCTCCTATGGCATCCCCCCAAAATATTCTTGCACAGCTCATTACACATATGAGGTCTGCCAGTGAAGTATAAATGCAGAAATAGCCTGTTTCCATATAACTTCCCCCTCATAAAATGCATTCACATTTGCACATGATTTACTAGATGTTACAACTTTTCTTTTCTGGATTGACTTTTACTCACCTGTCCCCTTCCCTGGCAGTGGTGGCAATTGTGTTGGAGAAACACCTAGTAATTGCAATGAGGTATACCAATGAATGAAGCCAATGGGATGACATCCCTCCCTGGGCAAGCAAATTGCTACTGCACAACTTGATAGAAGTGTTTACAGATTGATATTTTACTCCAGTTTACATGGACTTTACTAAGTTCAATGTCTTGTTCAGGTAACTCCAACATCCATGCATGGGAAAGTTGCATAGAGGCATCTGGAAAAAAATCCATTAGAATTCTGATAAAATTTGAGGATTTATGGGTACTCAGCCAAGATAAGAAGCTGCCATGAATCATGAGTGTGTGCTTCTGATCTTAAAAGTGATGACTGGACACAAATTTTTGGCATTCTTGTCAGGTCTAGCCACAGGTTTTGAAAGAAGGCATGGGCTCAGTTTTTTTTTATCAGGTACTGGATTAGGATAGGTTACAAGTAGACCGGAGAGCAAACTTCTATTACAAGTAAAACTAATAGAATAATACATGGCAGTTTTCCTGCAATACAATTTTGAAAACAGGTGGGAACTATAGTTAGAGCCCTTTGGACCAAAGCTAAGCTGGAAAGCTTTTAGCACCTTATATTTCATTTTAAAAAGTTTTTTTTTTCCTTTGATATATCTGCTTGGCATCATGGAATTCTAGTTTTAAGACTTGCATAAGGATAGGCACACCACCAGGGGAAAAATCAATATAAAAATAAAACTGCTGTTTCTCGTTCTTTTTTCGAGCAGCTCATGAGAGTAAACCTGAATAAAAGTATGTGTTTTAGCAATATTCAGTGAGCTGTGTGGCTTAGTACAACATTAGTACATACAGTAGGGCTATTCTTATGTGGAGGAATTAAACATTCTCCCTCGTTTTGCCCAGAAGGTGAGAAGCACAACCTGGATTTTTCATCCCTGAATGTTTTGTTGGTTTTCGTGGGGTTCATTCCCCCCCCCCCCCTTCCTATAAACATCGGCGAAGAACTAAAAGCGAAAATATCATTGTGTACTAGTGGCACAACAGTTACTTGTAGAGTGGTAAATGCGTGGAATGCGTTTGACGACGACGTAGTGGCTGCCCCTTCCGTGACTATCTTTAAGAAGAAACTAGATGCTTTTATGGACGAACAAGAAGGGGGGCAATGTTGACTTAAGGGACTATTCAACAAGCAACTAGGATATGCAAAAAAATCACAAAACTCGCAAAAATACAAAAATATTTATCTTTAAGAGGAGTAGGCATCACCTAAAATTAAGGAACGCTCGATCCTCGACACGTGGTATCCCAATGGGTGTTAGCCTCTTAAAAACCACTAAACAACTTTGAACCTTGAACGGAGTACACATGATGCAGGTCTCCTATTTTTGATGAGGGTAAGCAAATTTCCCCTGTCCATTCTCCATAAAAACTCCAGTTAAAGCTATTGTTGCGCCCTTTGTATATTGTCACACTTTGTACATTAGATAACGTAGAGTTTTCTTCACCGCACCAACGGGGTCAAGGGTCAAGCAAATTTACCTCGCGACGAAAGGTGGCGCCACCCCCACCGCGAGAGCTAAGGGTGGATTTTTGAACAGAGCACTATCCGATAATGCAGCTTTATTTACCTTATTTATAATGCATTTTCTCTGAAATAAAGCTGCATTATCGGATAGTGCTCTGCTCAAAAATCCACCCTAACTCTTGCCCAAGGAGGCCAATTCTTCGATACCCGCGAATTATGTCCTGTCCCCTGTTTTAACTCTCTGTATCCCGGTACCCTTTGTATGCAGATATGTTCTTTATTTGAGCTCTAACGGAATATGCGTAACCTGACCTCGTAGGGAATGGTGCACACTCGTAAGGTAGGGAGGGACTGTTGACCATGACTTGCCCCGACCCTAGCCGAGAAATGGATTTTGAAGATGGAGATCGACCTGTATACCCTGCAACTCTACACTTCACAATTGGCTCAGCTTGTGAACTACCTCACTGCAGCAGCATATAGCCTATATTTGCCAAGTCTTGCGCGTGTGGGCACGAGGATTCCACTGTGAGTGAACCAGAGGATGACTTTTACATGAATTGGAGATATTGCCACTATGAACCTGACTGTGCTAGAAGAGGGACAAAATGGAGGCTACGGAGCTGGAAGAAACCATCGCCCACTCCCCACCCCAGAATCATTATGCTACTGAATACATCTATGTTGAAGTGACAGAAGGAATCGACATCACTGCAAAGGAGACGCCAACGCCAGTACGCCATCAGGAACGTCCAAGATACCTACATTGAAACCAAGGCAACGTCGCTGGAAGCAGACAAGAAACGAGCCTACTAAGGAGGCCTCATGGGGGAAAGACCGCTCATCCACGTCCTGCACTAACAAAAAGAGCACAAGTGAAGCAAGCTTCTGCCAAAATGGAACGCGAAGGAGAGAAGTCCTAGGGGGAGGGATAGCCTCTTATTCTACCTTGAATATCAGCTACGACATCACCCCAAAATCCACTAGAAGCCCTTGTCTAGCCGGAGTTGGAGCAAAAGAAAGAAGAAAGGAGTCATCATGGAGATATCAACCGACATTTTCAAGTGCCTTCTCAACCCTTGGAAATTGGTCAAACTCCCTCTCTAGCAAACGACACCACGACTCCACAGATGACACTTGGCCACCTAGGAGGAATGAAGGATGGATGGACCACCTGATAAGGCCCGTATGGCCAGCTGGGACCCCCAAAATTTATTTTTCGTTTGTATTCATTGTACTAGTACAATGAATGTTTCAAAATGAAAAAATAAAAATAATAAAAATAAAACCGAGATCGGGGTGGACGAACTACATCAGGGAACCAAGGAAACGAGGTTCATCACTCTCCGTCCTCCTTGTGCCCGATTACCGTTCATTCAGTTGTGGACTGCATTGGCAAACCAAGGGTAGCGAGGTTCTTCACCCTCCAAACACCTTGTGCCCAATCCCCGTCCGTTTTCAGTGCACCCTCTAACGCGGCTTCACCTAGAGTGTAATCTGTTCATTATTTTTGCCGTCTTTTCCTGTATCGCGAAGGGTTGGAATGTCCTGGTTGACCTGGGTTGTAGTTTGACTGTGTGGAAGCGAGACCGCCTGTACCGTCTGTACTAGATTCCAAATTAAAGGTTGTTCTCATTGTTTATCGGCCTACTAGAGTTTCTCAGGGATCACCCTGGTGTCCACCTCTGGTCTACGATACGACCAGCAGTGTTTGTTTGTGACTGCCGACAGTCTGCGGACCGCTGACCTACACTAGCCGCTCCCTGACCTCGGTTCCAGCACTCCCGTGGGTTCCAAAACTGTCACACTATAAAAGAAAGTTGTGAATTTAAGGCCCGTATTCACGTCGCTCCCCTAATTAAATATCGTCCCTTTATCAGGTCCTGTAATTACATCAAACCTGCTGCCAAGTATGCGAAGCATGTTGCAATCATGTTTCAGCTTATGCAGGATGTAACAAAGATGGCCCCAAAATTTTAAAAATAAATCTTCTGCAGTTATTTTTACGAGATTTGAACTGCGCATAGGCTAGTATCGTCGCAGGTCTGACAACAAATACGAATATGCGAACCTTCACCTTTTAGGGAGGGTAACTTACCCTTCTTGACAGGAGAATGATTATTGAGGTATCCTATCCATTGAACCAGCGAGAACTCAACTCTGTTACAAAGGAGAATATTTCCATGCTTCTAGTCGAAAAACAGGCATGTTCTTACTCTCTTGAAAATGTTTGAAATTGTACATTCGCCCTTTTGTCAGACTTTCGACTATATGTTTCCGAGAGACTTGTGAAATTTCATTTTGATGAGGCAAAATTATGAAACTTTTTTTAAAAGTTGGATATTTACACTGGACCATGCTGATCAAGGAATGGAGGAAATATCGTTGTGCTGTGGAATGTCATCCAGGCCACATCGAACATATTTACAAAAACTCAATCGGCAGACCCAGTGGCGTAGGGAAGGGGGGGGGGGGGTTTAGGGGGTTCGAAC